TGTTTGTTTGTTTGAGAGGAGTACTGCAGTAGGCCTACTGGTTCAAATGTGGAAAAAGTCAAGAGAGAAACTGTGAGGAAAATACAGAAGACAGGAAAAAAGAGAAAAGATGAGAATTCAAAGGTTAGATTAAGTTGTAGGTGTTTTGAAGATTAGAGCATTTGACAATATACTGTACTAAGTAAAGCATACCACAACAGAAACAAAATCAGGACTTAGGTTCATGTTGGGAATATTGTATAGAAGGGCCAGTTTAACAATTCAGAGTCCGTGAAAGCTGGCAGAGGGATTGTTAGTTGTATCAGAGGACCAGCGAATAGGATGACTTGACCTCTACCATGAACACAAATATTAAAGAAAGGATGGGAGGAAGGAAGTAGTTAAACTTCCATTCAGCTTTGAACTTAAGAGACTGAAAAAGATTTAGTGCAGCAAGAAAGGGCTGAAACAGACTACAGTCAGGAGGCCCGAGTCCTGGTTTTATTTCTGTTGAATTATTTTTTATTTATTTTTTATTAACACATCGGCCGTTTCCCAGCAAGGTAGGGTGGTCCGAAAAAGAAAAACATTCACCATCATACACTCCATCACTGTCATGCCAGAGGCATGCTTACACTACAATTATAAAACTGTAACATTAATACCCCTCCGTCAGGGTGCAGGCACTGTACTTCCCATCTCCAGGACCCAAGTCTGGTCTGCGAGTTTCCTTGAATCCCTTCGTAAATATTACCTTTCTCACACTCCAACAGCATGTCAAGTCCTAAAAACCATCTGTCTAAATTCGCTCCTATCAAACATGTTCACGCATGCTTGCTGGAAGTCCAAGCCCTTCACACACAAAACCTCCTTTACCCCCTCTCTCCAACCTTTCCTAAGCCGACCTCTACTCCACCTTCCCTCCACTACAGATTTACACACTCTCGAACTCATTCTATTTTGTTCCACCCTCTCTACATGTCTGAACCCTCAACAACCCCTCCTCAGCCCTCTAGATAACAGTGTTGGTAATCCCACATCTCCTAGGTAGTAGGTTGGTAGACAGCAACCGCCCAGGGAGGTACTACCATCCTGCCAAGTGAGTGTAAAACGGAAGCCTGTAATTGTTTTACACGATGGTAGGATTGCTGGATGTCTTTTTTTTCTGTCTCATACACATGCAAGATTTCAGGTACGTCTTGCTACTTCTACTTACACTTAGGTCACACTACACATACATGTACAAACATATATATACACACCCCTCTGAGTTTTCTTCTATTTTCTTTCTAGTTCTTGTTCTTGTTTATTTCCTCTTACCTCCATGGGGAAGTGGAACAGAATTCTTCCTCCATAAGCTATTCATGTTGTAAGAAGCGACTAAAATGCCGGGAGCAAGGGGCTAGTAACCCCTTCTCCTGTATATATTACTAAATTTAGAAAGAAACTTTCGTTTTTCTCTTTGGGCCACCCTGCCTTGGTGGGATATGGCCGGCTTGTTGGGGAAAAAAAAAACCCGCACCTCCTCCTAATTTTTAAACAAATTCTCTGCATTATATTCATACCACACATTGCCCTCAGACACAACATCTCCACTGCCTCCGCCTTCTCCTTGTTGCAACATTCACCACCCATGCTTCGCACCCATATAAGAGGGTTAGTATAACTATGCTTTCATACATTCCCCTCTTTGCTTCCATGGACAAAGTTCTTTCTCTCCATAGACTCCTAAGTGCACCACTCACTTTTTTCCCCTCATCAATTCTATGATTCACCTCATCTTTCATAGACCCATCTGCTGACATGTCCACTCCTAAATATCTGAATACATTCACCTTCTCCATACTCTCTCCCTCCAATCTGATATCCAACCTGTCTTTAGCTAATTTTTTGTTATCCTCATCACCTTACTCTTTCCTATATTCACTTCTAATTTTCTTTTACATTTCCCACCAACCTCTGCAACTTTTCTTCAGAATCTCCAAAAAGCACAGTGTCATCAGCAAAGAGCAACTGTGACAACTCCCACTTTGTGTTAGACTATTTATCTTTTAACCCTACACCTCTTGCCAACACCCAAGCATTCACTTCTCTTACAATCCCATCTATATATAGTGAACCATGGTGACATCACACATCCTTGTCTAAGGCCTATTTTTACTGGGAAATAACCTCCCTCTCTCCTACATACTCTAACTTGAGCCTCACTATCCTTGTAAAACTTTTCATGGCTTTCAATAACCTACCTCCTATTCCACACATTTGCAACATCTGCCACACTGCCCCCTTATCCACCCTGTCATATGCCTTTTCCAAATCCATAAATGCCACAAAAACCTCTTTATCCTTATCTAAATACTGTTCATCTATATGTTTTACTATAAACACTTGGTCTACAGACCCCCTACCCTTCCTAGAGCCTCCATGTTCATCTGCTACCCAACTCTCTATCTTATTCTTAATAATAACTCTACCATACACTTTACCAGGTATACTCAACAGACTTATGCCCCTATAATTTTTGCACTCTCTCTTTTGTCCCCTTTGCCTTTATACAAAGGAACTATGCATGCTCTCTGCCAATCCCTAGGTACCTTACCCTCTTCCATACATTTATTAAGTAAAAGCACCAACCACTCCAAAACTAAATCCCCACCTGCTTTTAACATTTCTATCCTTATCCCATCAATCCCAGCTGAATTATCCCCTTTCGTTCTATTCACTGCCTCATGAACTTCCCATACACTCACAACTCGCTCTTCCTCACTCCTACAAGATGTTAGTCCTCCTTGCCCTATACGTGAAATCACAGCTTCCCTATCTTCATCAACATTTAACAATTCCTCAAAATATTCTCTCCATCTTCCTGATACCTCCATTTAATAACTCTCCTTTCTTATTTTTAACTATCAAATCCATAAATTCCCTAGGTTTCCTCAACTTATTAATCTCACTCCAAAACTTTTTCTTATTTTCAACAAAATTTGTTGATAACATCTCACCCATTCTCTCATTTGCTCTCTTTTTACATTGCTTCACACTCTCTTAACCTCTTTTTTCTCTCCATTTACTCCCTCCTTGCATCACTTCTACTTTGTAAAAACCATTCATATGCTAACTTTTTCTCTCTTACTACCCTCTTCATATCATCATTCCACCAATTGCTTTTCTTCCCTCCCGCACTCACTTTCCTGCAACCACAAACTTCTGCTGAACACTCTAACACTACACTGTTAAATCTACCCCATACATCTTCAACCCCATTGTCTATACTCTCACTAGCCCATCTATCCTCCAATAGTTGTTTATATCTTACCCTAACTGCCTCCTCCTTTAGCTTATAAACCTTTATCTCTCTCTTACTTGCTGCTTCCATTTTCCTTGTATCCCATCTACCTTTTACTCTCACTGTAGCTACAACTAAAAAATTATCTGATATATCTGTGGCCCCTCTATAAACATGTACATCTTGAAGTCTACCCAAAAGTCTTTTATTTAGCAATAGGAAGTCCAACAAACTACTGTCATTACGCCCTACATCATATCTTGTATACTTATTATTCGTCATATTCTTAAAATATGTATTACCTTTAACCAAACCCTTTTCTATAAAAAATTCAATCAAAGGACCCCCATTATCATTTACACATGGTACCCCAAACTTACCTACCACACCCTCTTTAAATGTTTCTCCTACTTTAGCATTTAGGTCCCCGACCACAATTACTCTCTCACTTGGTTCAAAAGTTCCTACACACTCGCTTAACATCTCTCAAAATCTTTCTCCTCCACACTCCTCTCTTCTCCAGGTGCATACACACTTATTATCACCCACTTTTTGCATGCGACCCTTATTTTAATCCACATAATCCTTGAATTTATACATTTATATTCCTTCTTCTCCTTCCATAACTGATCCTTCAACATTATTACTAACCCTTCCTTATCTCTAACTCTCTCAGATACTCCTGACTTAATCCCATTTATTTCTCCCCACTGAAACTCACCTACCCCCATTCAGTTTTGTTTCACTTAAAACTAGGACATCCAACTTCTTTTCACTGATAACATTAGCAATCATCTCTTTCTTATCATCCACACTACATCCATGCATATTCAAACATCTCAGTTTTATAAAGTTTTTCTTCTCTTTTTTAGTATTTTCTACAGAAGGGGTTACTAGCCTATTGCTAATGGCATTTTAGTTGCCTCATACGGAGGAAAGATTCTTTTCCACTTCCCCATGGAGAATAGAGGAAATAAAGAAGAACAAGAGCTATTAAGAAAAAAAGAAGAAAAACCTAGATGTGTGTATATTATATATATGCATGTGCATGCCTGTGTAGTGTGGCCTAAGTGTAAGTAGAAGTAGCAAGATATACCTGTTATCCAGCATGTTTATGAGACAGAAAAAGGGACACCAGCAATTCTACCATCATGTAAAACAGTTACAGGTTTCTGTTTCACACTCACTTGGCAGGATAGTAGTACCTCCCTGGGTGGTTGCTGTCTACCAACCTACTACCTGTTAAATATTTCATTTATTTATCTTTGATGTTGTTTTACTCTCTCCTAACTTGCTTCTTCTCTCTACTTAGTATGGAGTAGGCCTAGCAGTGCTCCTCATGTCTCATTTCTTTGTGTGTCCCCTCACAGGATGTGTTCTCTAGTTGTTCTATCTCATTAAGTTGCTACTCGTTTTCTCTATTTGCTGCCACATCATGATGTTGCTGCTGCTGCCCCTTTTCTGACATGTCTTCTGGTTTTCTCCCCATTTTCTCACTTAGTTGTGACTAGATAATGGTCCAAGACAAACCAAAATGTCAAGTTTCCTTTAAAAAGCATGGATTATTTGTGCAAATCTTCACTTTTATCGTATATAGATACATAAGCAGAATTAACCAAATTAGAGCAGATTCACTGAAATAGTTAAAAGAACACTGGAAAACCATAGGCAATCCTGCCTTTAGAGGAATAGGTAATAATCCAATTTAAATCACTTTACAAAAATTATTACTCACTTCCTTGGATCATCAGGAAATTTTATTCGAAGCTCCTGGTTTTTCAATACTCTTTTCTCAAATCCAAGAATCATCTTCTTGAGTTTTGATTCATCCAGAGGACCCTCGGCCTTATTGAAGTTGACATGAAGAAACAATTATCTTATACTGTATAATTAAAAAATTTTGGTAAACAAATCATGACACCTTCTTTCAATTACAATGTCTAAGTAGTCCTGGTTCATTCAAAACATATTTATACCAATTAATATTATATATATTGTACTCAATAATGTTATATAATAAAATAAATATATCTGACATATACGTATAAGAAATTACCATTAGAAATATTTGAATTATGGCATTATGACTGCAAGAACAAATTATATACTGTACAGTACTGTGCATTATATATAGTATTAATCTTTGCATTATTTTGAAAAATATCTGTGAGTAGTTTCAAAGATTTTTCTACTTCTCAAAGCCCAACCCAAGATTAAACTACTTTCTTGACTGCAGGTCAACCAGGCCTATATAACCATCACAACCTTGCTAATCTGGCACATTTTGCAGAGAGCTGTCCAGTTTCCTCTTGAAAATTTCTACTCTTCTTAACATAATCAGCCATTTCCCAATAAAATAGAGTGCCCCCCCAACCACCCAAAAAAGAAACTCATTCACAAACATTCATTCAATAATTTTCTTGCAAGAAGTGCAAATGCATCACAAAAAAGGCTAAACTCATATGGGTAATATAGTGCTTTGTATTAACAAATTACAATATTTATATAATCAATTGACACAAATCTAAATTTTAATTCTATGCATGTGAATCACATAAAATGAAAATTATTACTCTTTGTTAAATTAAAAATTATTAAAAACTTTTAAAAAATACAGGCTTCTTCATTCATTGACTGAAAAAGCCTGTTCCAAAGGTGAAACATCTAAACAAAGCTCCTCTCTGCAATTGTTTTTTTTTTCACCACAGTCCAGCATCACACAACCTAGTGCTAACATCTCTCTCAGACTACAGTATACATATTCAAACATAATGCAGAGAATCCGAAGTTTGGAGATTAGGAGGAGGTGCGGGGTTACCAAAACTATTATCCAGAGGGCTGAGGAGGGGTTATTGAGATGGTTTGGACATGTAGAGAGGGTGGAACAAAATAGAATGAGTTTGAGAGTGTATAAATCTGTAGTGGAGGAAAGACGGGGTAGGGGTTGGCCTAGGAAAGGTTGGAGGGAGGAGGTAAAGGATGTTTTGTGTGCAAGGGGCTTGGACTTCCAGCAAGCATGCATGAGTGTGTTGGATAGGAGCAAATGGAGACAAATGGTTTTTAGGACTTGATGTGCTGTTGGAGTGTAAGCAAGGTAACATTTATGAAGGGATTCAGGGGAAACTGGCAGGACGGGCTTGATTCCTGGAGATGGAATGTACAGTGCTGGCACTCTGAAGGAGGGGTGTTAATGTTGCAGTTTTATAATTGTAGTGTAAGCATGCCTCTGGCAAGACAGTAATGGAATGAATGATGATGAAAGTTTTTATTTTTTGGGCCACCCTGCCTTGGTGTGAAACGGCCGATGTGTTAAAAAAAAATGATTAAAAAGTAAGTCCATAATGTGTGTTCATTAAGTACAGAGTCCAAACAATGGACATAAACTGCAGACACAAGATAATGCTCAGAAAGTTCCAAAAATAACATTTCATAAAAAGGAGCTTGCACCTGAGGCAATGTTAATAGAGATAGCACAACTGTTCATGTCCTCCCCATCAGTAACAAAATGCCATCTGTCTTCTTAATGGGTGTGGAAGGGTGAAAAGTTGCATCTCATAGTTTGACAAATCACAGACAAGCCTACAACTCATCATAAAGGTAGTTAGCGTAAGGCTAGCCAGGACCTCCATCAGCTCCCTGAGTATTATAATTACAACTAACAAACTCATACTCAATACTGATAAAGACTTCTATACAATGAATGAGAACAAAAAAAAAGTTCAATTAAACATAAAGGTAAACAATTTGCCAATAAAAAGGCAAGATAAGGGTAAATCCTTGGGAATACATCTGGACATAAAAGTAAAATTCAACACACACATCCAGAATATTTCTAAAAATTTCCAAAAAAGTGGACAATCTCTCAAAAATATGTAATTACATTCCATAAACATCTAGGTAGTAGGCTGGTAGACAGCAACCACACAGGGAGGTACTAGCATCCTGCCAAGTGAGTGTAAAACGAAAGCCTGTAATTGTTTTACATGATGGTAGGATTGCTGGTGTCTTTTGTCTGTCTCAAAAATATGCAAGATTACAGGTACGTCTTGCTACTTCTACTTACACTTAGGTCACACTACACATACAAGTACAAGCATATATACAGAGCCCTCTGGATTTTCTTCTATTTTCTTTCTAGTTCTTGTTCTTGTTTATTTCCTCTTATCTCTATGGGGAAGTGGAACAGAATTCTTCCTCCATAAGCCATGCATGTCGTAAGAGGCGACTAAAATGCCAGGAGCAAGGGGCTAGTAACCCCTTCTCCTGTACAAATTACTAAATTTAAAAAGAAAAACTTTCGTTTTTCTTTTTGGGCCACCTTGCCTTGGTGGGATACAGCCGGTTTGTTGAAAAAAAAAAAATACTGCTCATGTTGTACTGCTCTCCAATTTATCCATACCTCACCTATGTACATATGCTTGGGGATCAACAACAGCTAATTGCCTTAAACCTGTTGATACTTTAGCAAAAATCAACTTTCAGAATAATTGTTCATCCAACCTTCAGACAACAAACACACAGCCTTATTCAAGGGTGCATGCAATGTCTACAGGACTCTTAATTCGAACATTAATCCAATGCTTACAATCTATTTAAAGAGCTGCAACAGAACATAAAGAACAAGTATGTCTTTGATATTCCATGTGTACGACTCAACTTGTTCAGGAACTCTATGCAAATCAAAGGTCCAAAAATCTGGAACTGTAGGCAATCCAGGCAATAAAGAAACCTTCTCTCCATTTATTAACCCTTTGACTGTCACAACCCCAAATCCTGAGGTGTCTCCTGGTGTCACAAAATATTTGAAAAAAAAAAAAAATATTATTTTTCTTATGAAATGACAGAGAATCATTTCCCGATGGTAATGGCACAAAAAGTACAAAATTTTCGTACTTTTGGTGCCATTTCGGCTAATTCCCTTGCTCCAGTCGACCAAACTCATAGCTATTTCTTTAGAACTCCATTTTTTCTATCGATTAAGTACAAGAAACTGCCCATTTACCAATTTCAACTACCCAATAAAGTGGTCAGAAATTGGCAATTTGGCCAATTTCACGCAAATTAAAAAATATACCAATTTCAAAATAGGGTCCAGAATGAACAATGCAGACATTCCTGGCTCTAAAATAACATTTTCTTTGTTCATCAGTCATGTTTCCAGGCCCCTCTGATATATTACTCTTGCTTTCTATTTTTAATTTTTATTCAAACAAAAAATAGAAGATTTGCTGTTATGCAGACTACTGCAATATTGTAATAAATGTATAAATAATGTCAATCCATTCATGACTGCATATCAGAATGGCTAGTTGGACATTTATTGGAAAATGACATCATTTGTTTACTCTTGAGCATCTGTAAAAATCAAACATTTCCCCTACTTTGAGCTCCATTTCAAGGTCCTTTTCATAGTAAAACCAATCAAAATCATCTTTATTTCTGTAATATGTTTTCCATTCTATCATATGAGAAAACGAAAACGAGAATACAACCATAAATACTATATGAAAATACACCTCAAAGTCAGCGTTTTAATCCACTGCGTGCTGCAGGATTTTTTTTATACAGTGCACACTGACCACACAGACCCATTCTCTCACATGTGGGCCTACCAGCTTTGTCCCGCTTGATTTGAAGCTGCTAGAATTTTTGAGTATATATACGTCAAACACATTGGCTCGTAACACGTATATATACGACCAAAACAGTCAAAGGGTTAATCATGTACGTATTTGGGCCTCTCCTATATAAATGCCAATTAAGTTGAATCCATTGTCACACACAAAAAATCAATGTTATCCCTATTTTTCATTTAATAAACCATAACCAAGAATGCTAATTTATAATTTAGGCTGTCCCAATAATTGAAAAAGACCTAGTAAAACTCCCCTCAAAAGTTACCCTGGGAAAATGCCCAACCCTTCCACAGAAAAATCGCCTGAAATTGTCCATTCTTGCCAATTCAATGCCTATTTCTTAAACTGACCAAAATCTTCTCCATTTCACTATTATGTCTTTTAGTTTATCTATTGCCACCAAGAAACTGCAAGTAAAACAATGAAAAAGACCCTAAAAAAAATTTTTTTTATTATTTTTTATCACACTGGCCGATTCCCACCAAGGCAGGGTGGCCCGAAAAAGAAAAACTTTCACCATCATTCACTCCATCACTGTCTTGCCAGAAGGGTGCTTTACACTACAGTTTTTAAACTGCAACATTAACACCCCTCCTTCAGAGTGCAGACACTGTACTTCCCATCTCCAGGACTCAAGTCCGGCCTGCCGGTTTCCCCTGAATCCCTTCATAAATGTTACTTTGCTCACACTCCAACAGCACGTCAAGTATTAAAAACCATTTGTCTCCATTCACTCCTATCAAACACGCTCATGCATGCCTGCTGGAAATCCAAGCCCCTCGCACACAAAACCTCCTTTACCCCCTCCCTCCAACCTTTCCTAGGCGACCCCTACCCCGCCTTCCTTCCACTACAGACTGATACACTCTTGAAGTCATTCTGTTTCGCTCCATTCTCTCTACATGTCCGAACCACCTCAACAACCCTTCCTCAGCCCTGTGGACAACAGTTTTGGTAATCCCCGCACCTCCTCCTAACTTCCAAACTACGATTCTCTGCATTATATTCACACCACACATTGCCCTCAGACATGACATCTCCACTGCCTCCAGCCTTCTCCTCGCTGCAACATTCATCACCCATGCTTCACACCCATATAAGAGGGTTGGTAAAAACTATACTCTCATACATTCCCCTCTTTGCCTCCAAGGACAAAGTTCTTTGTCTCCACAGACTCCTAAGTGCACCACTCACTCTTTTTCCCTCATCAATTCTATGATTCACCTCATCTTTCATAGACCCATCTGCTGACACGTCCACTCCCAAATATCTGAATACGTTCACCTCCTCCATACTCTCTCCCTCCAATCTGATATTCAATCTTTCATCACCTAATCTTTTTGTTATCCTCATAACCTTACTCTTTCCTGTATTCACCTTTAATTTTTTCTTTTGCACACCCTACCAAATTCATCCACCAATCTCTGCAACTTCTCTTCAGAATCTCCCAAGAGCACAGTGTCATCAGCAAAGAGCAGCTGTGACAACTCCCACTTTGTGTGTGATTCTTTATCTTTTAACTCCACGCCTCTTGCCAAGACCCTCGCATTTACTTCTCTTACAACCCCATCTATAAATATATTAAACAACCACGGTGACATCACACATCCTTGTCTAAGGCCTACTTTTACTGGGAAAAAATTTCCCTCTTTCCTACATACTCTAACTTGAGCCTCACTATCCTCGTAAAAACTCTTCACTGCTTTCAGTAACCTACCTCCTACACCATACACTTGCAACATCTGCCACATTGCCCCCCTATCCACCCTGTCATACGCCTTTTCCAAATCCATAAATGCCACAAAGACCTCTTTAGCCTTATCTAAATACTGTTCACTTATATGTTTCACTGTAAACACCTGGTCCACACACCCCCTACCTTTCCTAAAGCCTCCTTGTTCATCTGCTATCCTATTCTCCGTCTTACTCTTAATTCTTTCAATTATAACTCTACCATACACTTTACCAGGTATACTCAACAGACTTATCCCCCTATAATTTTTGCACTCTCTTTTATCCCCTTTGCCTTTATACAAAGGAACTATGCATGCTCTCTGCCAATCCCTAGGTACCTTACCCTCTTCCATACATTTATTAAATAATTGCACCAACCACTCCAAAACTATATCCCCACCTGCTTTTAACATTTCTATCTTTATCCCATCAATCCCAGCTGCCTTACCCCCTTTCATTTTACCTACTGCCTCACAAACTTCCCACACACTCACAACTGGCTCTTCCTCACTCCTACAAGATGTTATTCCTCCTTGCCCTATACACGAAATCACAGCTTCCCTATCTTCATCAACATTTAACAATTCCTCAAAATATTCCCTCCATCTTCCCAATACCTCTAACTCTCCATTTAATAACTCTCCTCTCCTATTTTTAACTGAAAAATCCATTTGTTCTCTAGGCTTTCTTAACTTGTTAATCTCACTCCAAAACTTTTTCTTATTTTCAACAAAATTTGTTGATAACATCTCACCCACTCTCTCATTTGCTCTCTTTTACATTGCTTCCCACTCTCTTAACCTCTCTCTTTTTCTCCATATACTCTTCCCTCCTTGCATCACTTCTACTTTGTAAAAAACTTCTCATATGCTAACTTTCTCTCCCTTACTACTCTCTTTACATCATCATTCCACCAATCGCTCCTCTTCCCTCCTGCACCCACTTTCCTGTAACCACAAACTTCTGCTGAACACTCTAACACTACATTTTTAAACCTACCCCATTACCTCTTCGACCCCATTGCCTATGCTCTCATTAGCCCATCTATCCTCCAATAGCTGTTTATATCTTACCCTAAACTGCCTCCTCTTTTAGTTTATAAACCTTCACCTCTCTCTTCCCTGATGCTTCTATTCTCCTTGTATCCCATCTACCTTTTACTCTGTGTAGCTACAACTAGAAAGTGATCTGATATATCTGTGGCCCCTCTATAAACATGTACATCCTGAAGTCTACTCAACAGTCTTTTATCTACCAATACATAATCCAACAAACTACTGTCATTTCGCCCTACATCATATCTTGTATACTTATTTATCCTCTTTTTCTTAAAATATGTATTACCTATAACTAAACCACTTTCTATACAAAGTTCAATCAAAGGGCTCCCATTATCATTTACATCTGGCACCCCAAACTTACCTACCACACCCTCTCTAAAAGTTTCTCCTACTTTAGCATTCAGGTCCCCTACCACAATTACTCCTCACTTGGTTTCAAAGGCTCCTATACATTCACTTAACATCTCCCAAAATCTCTCTCTCTCCTCTGCATTCCTCTCTTCTCCAGGTGCATACACGCTTTTTATGACCCACTTCTCGCATCCAACCTTTACTTTAATCCACATAATTCTTGAATTTACACATTCATATTCTCTTTTTCCTTCCATAACTGATCATTTAACATTTTCTGCTACCCTTCCTTTGCTCTAACTCTCTCAGATACTCCAGATTTAATCCCATTTATTTCCCCCACTGAAACTCTCCTACCCCCTTCAGCTTTGTTTCGCTTAGGGCCAGGACATCCAACTTCTTTTCATTCATATAAAATCAGCAATCATCTGTTTCTTGTCATCCGCACTACATCCACGCACATTTAAGCATCCCAGTTTTATAAAGTTTTTCTTCTCTTTTTTAGTAAATGTCTACAGGAGAGGGTTACTAGCCATTGCTCCCGGCATTTTAGTCGCCTCATACGACACGCATGGCTTACGGAGGAAAGATTCTTTTCCACTTCCCCATGGACAATAGAAGAAATAAAGAAGAACAAGAGCTATTTAGAAAAAGGAGAAAAACCTAGATGTATGTATATATATATGCATGTGCGTGTCTGTGAAGTGTGACCAAAGTGTAAGTAGGAGTAGCAAGATATCCCTGTTATCTAGCGTGTTTATGAGACAGAAAAAGAAACCAGCAATCCTACCATCATGCAAAACAGTTACAGGTTTTTGTTTCACAGTCATCTGGCAGGATGGTAGTACTTCCCTGGGTGGTTGCTGTCTACCAACCTACTACCTACTCATTATTTTAACCCAAACAGTATGGTGGGAGTATGGAAGAAGTGAATGTGTTAGGATATTTGAGGGTAGACTTGTCAGCGTATGGGTTTACGAAGGATGAGGGTAACCATAGAATTTTTGAAGGAAAAAAAGGTGAGTGGTGCACTGAGGAATCTGTAGAGACAAAAAACATTATCTATCAAGGCAAAGAAGGGAATGTACGTGAGTATAGTGGTACCAACTGAAGAATGGGTTGTAAATGCTGCAGCAAGAAGGAAGCTGGAGGCAATGGAGACGCTGCTTCTAAGGGCAATGTGTGATGTAAATATTATGCAGAGAATTCGTAGTGTTGAAATTAGGAGGAGGTGTGGAGTTACTAAAATATTACTGAAAATGGGTTGAGAAGGTAGTTTGGTCATTTAGAGAGGATGGAGGAAAACACAATGACTCGGAGTGTGTATGTGTAGTGGAGGGGAGGAGGGATATGGGTCGTCCTAGGAAAGGATGGAGGGAGGGGGTAAAAGAGGTTTTGTGCACAAGGGGGCTTGGACATGAAGCAGGCATGTGTGTGCATACTGTATTAGACAGAAGTGAATGGAGACGAATAGTTTTTAAGACCTGACGAGCTGTTGGAATGTGAGCAAGGTAATATTTTGTTAAGGGATTCGGGGAAACCGGTTAGCCAGACTTGAGTCCTGGAGGTAGGAAGTACAATGCCTGCACTGTAAAGGAGGAGTTTTGGATATTGGCTGTTTGGAGTGACATCTAAACTGTTGTATCTGAGTGCCTCTGCAAAGACAGTGATTATGTGTGAATGATGGTGAAAGTGTTGAATGAAGGTGAAAGTGTTTCTTTTTTGGGTCACCCTGCCTCCATGGGAGATGGAGTACACCTGGAGACCTAGAGGTGCCTGATGTTTTAAAAAAAAAAAAAAAAAAGTATGGTCAAAGGCTAGCTGTCATCATGTACTGCCTAGAGCAGGATTTTTTTTATACTTTGTACACCCATGGTGCAGACCCATTCTCTCTTATCTAAGCCAAAATTTACTGCTCACAGTAAATTTGAAAGTGCTATGATTTATGAAGAGATCTAAATCACTGATCCCACTGATTTACACAACCAACAATTTAGAGGCTAAAAAATTGACAAGTAGGTCTGGTCTGTTAATATCCTACAACCAGGGCAAAACGGACTATGGTATACTGTAATATATAAATCTTACTTCATCAGGATCCTCCTGTTCCTCAAGTTGCTGTAACTTTTCTTCCACAATTTGACGAGTACGTGCAGAATTCACCGTAGGGACAATGTTGGGGGTTGGTGGCTGTGGACCTAATCCTCTGGATTCCAGCCTTCCTCGCTTCCTCCCAGGTCGTTCTTTTTCTTCTTCTTCTTCTTCTTGAGCTCGTTTCACTGCCATCTCAGGCTGTTGAATTGGTTTATGAAAAATAATTGTCATAAAAGTTTCCAAAGAAGCTGCAGATGCAGCAAAGATTATCAAAAAAACTGCAATAAACAAATTCTACTCTGGAATACATATCTATCAGTTAAGAAATCATAAGGACTAACCATGTACTAGACTGATGTGATCAATGCACAGGCGGGTCAATGCCAATTCCCACAACCAATGGTGAAGGAAGAACAGTTAGAAGCTCAACTGTGATTTAATCTAAATAAAAGCTTGCTGGCCACTAACATACATCAGGAGGTGAATTCAAAACAGTAATTACAAATAAAGGAGATTGCTTGTACTGTCTGCAGCACTGGTAAAACATTTCATCAATAAAGACACCTCAGTGTTACATGTGTCATACTCATCAACTAGGCCCAGAATATTCACTGCAGTAAAAAAAAAAAAAAAAAAAAAAAACTCACACATCAAGTCAGCAATACTGCCCCAAAAAACACATATTATAGAGTAGGTTTAATTATATTATATTATTTCTATTATGTGTCATTAGAGTGTATGCTACATTGAACATTATCTTCTGGTGTCCATGGATAAAAGACTACCAGATCTAGTGTAGAAAATACAGGGAAATCAAGCATTTTTCAACAGGATGGATGAACATCACCAAAAACCTGGAAACTACTTCCCAATATATTGCAAAGCCAAATAATATAGAACAAGCATCCAAGAAACTACAAGCTAGTTGTACCACCTGTGCAGCTAGTTTACTGTGCACTCCATGCTCATCCTGTGAGTGGTAATACAAAAAAAATATTACAGAGGTCACAATGGATCTCTGTCAGATGCCACTGAGCATTGAGAGAATATGTATTAGTCATTTCATATTTTACAATTACTTTACACAGTACAGTAAGGAATACAATATTAAAAAAAATTAATATCTTATTATTTACCTGGAGTTTTTTTTTTTTTTTACGATTTCTTCAAAAGAATGGAAATGTCTGACTTTTTTGGGTTATCCTAGGTAATTTACACTATACATGATAATTATACTTATGTGTACCTGCAGTTAAATAAACTTACTTACTGACTTACTAATGATATCACAGAATGGGGCCCTGTGGCCTGGCTGGCAAAGCTCTGCCTTCACACGCTGAGGCCAAGTGGGGTGGAAACATTCAACGCGTTTCCTTACACCTGTTGTCCTGTTCACCTAGCAAGTAGGTACCTGGGTGTTAGTCGACTGGTGTAGGTCGCATCCTGGGGGACAAGATTGAGGACCCCAATGGAAATAAGACAGATAGTCCCTCAATGATGTAGCGTTTCCTTAAGACACTTGCTGTCCATGTTCACCCATCAGCATAAAATGGGTACCTGGGTGTTAAAAAAACCATACCCCGGCCGGGATTGAACCCGCTATCATAGAGTCTCAAAACTCCAGCCCGTCGCGTTAGCCACTAGACCAGCTAGCCACTAATAAGATTCGTCCAACTAGGTATATTTCTACACCATAGGAAGGTTAGCACAGGCACCACTGTGACCACAAATGCAAGTTTTTACAGACGAGTCTCCAGCTAGCATGGCCGTGACGAACTCTAGCTCAAGTCCCTTCACTGCCGTCAACATGACTCACGAAATCGTAATGACACGATTGCAAACAAACCATACCCCCGGCCGGGATTGAACCCGCGGTCATAATCTCAAAACTCCAGCCCGTCGCGTTAGCCACTAGACCAGCTAGCCACTAGTGTGTTAGTCGGCTGGTGTGGGTCGCATCCTGGGACAAAACTGACCTAATTTGCCCAAAATGCTCTGCATAACAAGCGGCTTTCTATATAGTAGTATGTCATTGGACATTGATGTCAGCTAGGCCTGTATACCTTGTACATGTACTTGTAGAAATCAAGATATTATCATCATTATGTTTTCTTCCAAACTGTAAATTCCTCTTTTTGAAAGTGTCAACAACACAAATAATAGAACTTTAAAATGGAGCTGTACCTTGAATGAGAGAAGCTCTCCAACATCCATGATGATTTAACGTTAATTTTTCTTGCAAGTTCTATTAAAAACAGAGTTGTTATTGTTGGATTAAAGGAATACGACACCACGAGGCCGTATGAACCCCTGCAGCAGCAAGCATCGGCCGGATTGAAGCCAGATCAAAGATAGACAAGACAAAATTTATTTCTTTGCAAAGGTTACTATGTGCGTTTATATTTTATACGTGTTGTTAGGTACAAAGAAAGCCACTAGCCACTAACATGCCGGGGCATTTCGCACAGACTAATCCTAATGCTTACAGACTACTTAAGACTAGAAAGGTAAAGAGTGGTCAATTTTAATTATAATAATAATAATAATAATAATAATAATAATAATAATAATAATAATAATAATAATAATAATAATAATATCTTTATTTACTACAAGTACATGTACAAGGTATACAGACCATAGCTAACATCAATGACATACTACGCTAGCCAGTACTGTAAATACCGAATTACAGAAAATATCTACCTGGATGAGGACTAACAAACTTACACTAAACATTGACAAAACCTACTTCATTCAGTTTGGTAACAGAGCTACAGATGTCCCTCTTAACATAATGATAAACGGATCACCTATCACAAAGCTAACAGGGAAAATTCTTAGGAATCCACCTTGATAATAGACTCAAATTTCATACACATATACAACAAATTTCTAAGAAAAATTCCAAGACCGTAGGCATACTATCGAAGATACGGTACTATGTTCCACAGTCAGCCCTCCTGGCCCTATATCACTCTCTCATTTACCCCTATCTCACCTATGGAATTTGTGCATGGGGCTCAACAACAATTAACCATCTCAGAACACTAATTACCCAACAAAAGGCTGCAGTTAGAATGATAACAAATTCTCACTACAGGCAACACACTCCACCAATATTCAAAACACTCAACCTACTTACCATACAAAACATCCATACTTATTATTGCACCTGTTACATACATAGAACACTTAACTCTGATATTAACCCTCCCCTCAAACATCTCCTTGCCAACCTCAACAGAACACATGACCATAACACAAGGCACAGATCACTCTTTGATGTTCCTCGTGTCCATCTCACGCTATGCAAAAACTCAATGCACATAAAAGGCCCTAAAATCTGGAATTCGTTACCTGTAAATATAAAAGAAACACTACCTGTTTATAAATTCAAGTCTCTTCTCAAAGATCACTTACTCACCCAAAACCAAATAAATACTGAATAACTGAACCTTATAAATTGTATATCTTAAATGTTTCTCACAATTATATCACATAAATGTTAAACCTAAGACCCAATCTAACTTTGTTATTTTTTTTAAATACACTACCTAACAGAATACTCCATTCTACTGAATGTACAGCAATGCATGCAACCATATGACCTGTCTTTGTAATACTCATTTGTGCTTTATTGTTATCTGTTTACAATAATGTTTTATCACTGATTACATCATTGCTTAGTTAATCTTAAGTTAATTTTAAGCCAGCCCGTAATGTTATGCATACAAGTGGCTTTGGCATGCTGCTCTTACCTGTATTTTTTTGTACCTCTGTATGTATGCTCAAATTACTAAATAAATAAATAAAAAAAGCCCCTTGTTATGCAGAGCATTTTGGGGAAATTAGGTTAGTTTTGTCCCAGGATGCGACCCACACCAGCCGACTAACACCCAGGTACCCATTTGACTGATGGGTGAACAGGTACAGAAAGTGTCTTATGAAAACACGTGCCTAATGAACATTAAAATGGTATAAAATACCGACAGATTGTTAGGTAAGACACATATGCAACAGTTAGGTATCTTTATTTCGAAACGTTTCGCCTACACAGTAGGCTTCCTCAGTCGTGTACAGAAAAGTTGATAGAAGCAGAAGAGACTTGAAGACGATGTAATCAGTCCATCACCCTTAAAGTTTTGAGGTGGTCAGTCCCTCAGTCTGGAGAAGAGCATTGTTCCAAACTTTGTTTGGAAGCATTGTTTCAAACTCTGGAACAATGCTCTTCTCCAGACTGAGGGACTGACCACCTCAAAACTTTAAGGGTGATGGACTGATTACATCGTCTTCAAGTCTCTTCTGCTTCTATCAACTTTTCTGTACACGACTGAGGAAGCCTACTGTGTAGGCGAAACGTTTCGAAATAAAGATACCTAACTGTTGCATATGTGTCTTACCTAACAACGTGCCTAATGTTTTCCAGCCGTATACATTATTTTCCTTATTATAACAGTGAGGCTGACAGCAACCCAGCATAACCCAATAACGTCAGGATTTCCTTGCAAAGCTTACAATGTGTGGTTTACATATTATAAAATATTAATTACTGTGCAATCTACATCTACAGGACCTTAAACTCCAATATCAACCTTGACCTAAAACGCTTTCTTGATAGTTGTGACAGAGCCCACAGGCATAACACCAGACACAAACATCTCTACGACATTCCCCGTGTCCGACTAAACCTTTACAAAAATTCAATATATGTCAAAGGCCCTAAAATCTGGAACACCCTACCTGAGAACTCTAGAACTGCAGACACATTCATCACCTTCAAAACTACCATTAGAAAACATCTTATCTCCCTGATACACCCTGTCAACTAACTACACGAATACCACCTGGTGGTTCACACTTACACTCACCCATTTGACCATAAACAGAAATATTAATCTCAATCTTAAAATAATGAATCCTGTGATACTCCAATACTGAAACTATGTACTGTGCCAAAACAAAAGCATTCACATTGCTAAACTCACAAACTAGTATTTAGTCACTTAGCCATAATACCAACTTACCTCATAATTTGTAATATTTTAAAATAAAGAATTAAACTAAGTCTGCCCGAAATGCCTAGCCATGCTAGGCGTTCTAGTGGTACACTCTGTAATCATTATTTAACTACATGTAAACCACACAATAACCAAATTCTGTAAATTCAACATTGTAATCCTTATAGAGAATAAACTTTGAATTTGAATTTGAATTTGAATTTGAAAAGAAGGCCACTAGCATGCCTAGGCATTTCGGCCAAACTAATCCTAATTCTTACTCTATATTGACACAGGTTATAGAGGAGTACATTTTAATATACCTTATTGTATACTAGGTAATGGAAGTGATTAATTAGATTTATAATAATGAGGCAGTACAAAACATGTAACAATATTACAATTAGTAATTTTAGTAATGGGAATGGTTAAGTCTTGGCATGATACATTGTTTGTCTTAAAGTTCTTATATTGGGAGAGTATCTTAGGCAAACTTAGGACTAACTTAAGATTTATTAGACAACAACTATATGTATTAGGAATTTTATGTTTACAGTCATTTGGGTGAGTGTAAATTAGGGGGAATCACAGTTATCGAGAGTAAATTTATTTTGTTTTGGATGTGTTCATGATATAAAAAAGACAATAGGTGGTTTTGATATAGTTAGCTGATGATGGGGTGTGTTAGGGACATAAGATGTTTTTTAACGGTAATTTTGAAAATGGTGGTTGAGTCTGCAGTTCTCGAGTTTTCAGGCAGGGAGTACCAGATTTTAGGCCCTTTTATGTACAGGGAATTTATCCCGACATGAGGAATGTCATACAGATTTTTGTATCTGGTATTGTGTCTATGGGTCCTGTGGCAACTATCAAAAAAGTGTTTTAGTTCAGGTTAATATTAGAATTTATGGTTTTGTAAATGTAGGTTGCACAGTAGTATGACTCACGAAATCGTAATGACACGATTGCCAACAAACCATACCACGGGCGGGGATAGAACCCGCGATCAGAGTCTCAAAACTCCAGACCGTCGCGTTAGCCACTGGACCAGCTAGCACAATAAAATTCGTCCAACTAGGTAAATTTCTACACCATAGGAAGGTTAGCATAGGCACTACTGTGCTAACAGTGGCTAACGCGACGGTCTGGAGTTTTGAGACTCTCTGATCGCGGGTTCTATCCCACCCGTGGTATGGTTTGCACAGTAGTAGATGTGAATGTTTTGTACAGTAAGTAAATTTAGGTCTTTGAAGAGTGGTGAGGGAGAGTGTTGCCTAGCATTGGACTGCGTGATAATTCTTACTGCGACTTTTTTGTTGGGTTAATATTGGCTTTAACTGGGTTGCTGCTGTTAATCCCCAGGCACAAATAGCATAGGTGAGGTGGGGATAGACGAGTGAATAGTATAGCGTGAGTAGAGCTGATTGTGGTAACGTATCTTGGAGAAGATCCCCACTGTTTCGGATACTTTTTTTTTTTGTCTTGTATATGGGTGTTGAATTTCAGGTTGCTGTCAAGGTGCAGGCCCAGGAATTTGCCCTCATTATGTTTATCAACAAGAGTGTTGCCAATCATAATGCTCAGCTGTGCAACACCTGTTCTGTTACCAAACATAATATGGAAAGTTTTGCCAGTATTAAATTTAAGTTTATTAGCAGTCATTCAGGTTGATATTTTTACTAGCTCTTCGTTTACAATGGTGTTGAGTGAGGCAAGATTAGGGTGGAAGATGACAAAAGTCGTGTCGTCGGCAAAGAGAATAGGTGATATATTTGGAAGATCATTGATGTACAAGAGGAAGAGCAGGGGACCAAGGACACTTCCCTGTGTCACTCCAGTATCCAGTGGTCTTGTTGATGAGGTTGTGTCCTTTACAACATACCATACTGATCAAGTTTGTGGAGTAGGATGCCGTGGTCTACTGTATCAAAAGCTTTCCTTAGGTCGATAAAGTCCTAATGTATATTCATTTTTTTCCGGTGCTGTATAAAGCAGGCCTAGCATTTTTACAATTGCGTCGTTGTTCTTTTGCCACGAAGCTTGAGCTTGCAGCTTCTCTCAACACTTGTATTCACGCAAAGTTCTCCAAGATCACGTCACTGAAAGAAGCTTTCATCGTCACTTTTCTCGATGATACTGAAGCTGACAAGGTGCTTACACCTACTGCCATGAAGACCTTAGAAGACCGAGGCTTTACCATCTCTACATCACCATACATGCTTGCAAGACGTTCAGTGTTTATGAAACGTCTTGACAAGCTGATCACGAACATGACCATCCAGGAAATTACTACATCACTTGAAGACCTCAACACCTGGGCCAAGATTGACAATGTAGTGAAGA